TATGGATTCATAGAATTAAAATAAAAAAAATTTCATCGAATAATTTTAAAATTTTTTATTTTTCTGTTCTAAAAAAACGGACTGCGAGGCTTAGGTTACACAATAATGCAATTAGTAAACGCATCAAGAACGTAAATCAATTTTGGGTACATTTTAGACCTACCAAAAAAAGAAACTTCAGATATATCAAAAACGATACTTTTGCGACAGAGCTTAAGGACAGAGCAAAATCACATGATATTATTAAAATCCATAAACCCTAACCGTTAACTAACCAATTACATGATACTGCTCTGTCCCTATCTGTCCCTAAGCTCTGTCCGTAAAATATTCGAACAACAATCGCTCTTTTTTGAAAAGTCACACTTACCTCAAAATTTTGTCTAAGAAATCATCTTTTATGAACTACAAAAAAAAATTCCTTGCAAAATTTTAGTATAATGTTGCCTAATAACTCTAACCTCAAACCCTAACCGAGGTATCATATTTTAATCAGAAAGTGATATATAAATTGGCGCAAATAATCCCAGCCAATCAGAAACCTGAGAAAATTAGTAAAATCCTTTGGACATATTTCTTTAGACGACACCAAAAAATTGATGGTGCACAATGTTACACAAAATTGATGTACTGACATACGTATGTCAATTAATTATCTAAATTATTCATTGATTTCAATAACATAAGTTTATAACTATCAAATTACAAATTTTTTTATTTTTTTATGAATTAGCACATATTTGTTGAGAAGTAGCAATTTATTTAAAGTAGCAAAAGTTTGAAATCAATGATTGGTAAAACATTTGTAATAAATCTATGCAGCCAATGTCTTGACAAATTATATTACGTAACAATATCATCAATAAAATTACAATATCCGATGTAATTTAAAAATCACTAAGTTTTTCAAATTTCAAAAATCGGCAACAAAAAAAAAATTCTTATACTTTAGAATACATACCGTTTTTGATTTTTTTTTTGATTTCATTGTGTCAGATCAGAAGTTTTATCTAATAAGAAGAAAGATTTCAATAAGAACTTGGAGAAAAATTAGTAACTACAGTAATGATTAAAAAACACTAATTTATGCCACTATTAAAGTGGTATGATTTTGAGTAACTTGAGTACTTGCACTACACTAATATTTTGTAAGCTAAAGTTGTTTCATAGGTAAATTTCAAGATTATTATAATTTTTGGATTATTTTTTGTATTACATGATTTTATCTCTGTAACTGATGCTGATTGGCCAGAATGATTTCAGATCAGTGTTTATATTAAATTTTTTGTTTACATAACAAGATGGATTCTTACTTATCTTAATTTATATTACATAATTCTTACTTATCATAATCATGAAATATAGATGACTTTCAAACAAGATAGTTATATTTTTTGATAGTAATAAAACCTTTTTGTATATTTAGCTTGGTATGGGTAGTTGTTCTATTAATTATAAAGACAAGCAGCTATCCTTTTATGGTTACCTCAGAGTTACTTACTAATATAATTATTAATTAAATTCTTTTTATACACTAGAATGATAAAATAGAAGAAACAATCACTGCCTTAGAAGCAAAAAATAAAAATCCAAAAGTTCATTATGTTTTATGTTATATTATTTTTTTCAATTTATTGTCATTATAAATAATGCAAATTGATATATTGTTCTCTAGAATAAAGTTTTAAGAATCAAAGAAGAATATAAAAAATATTGTGAATTTACTATACATAGTTTCTCTAGAAATGACCTTTTTTTTTTTAACATTAAATAAGATAATTTATTTTTATTATTTTTCTTGATGTTATAGCAAACTTCGAATTACAAATTTAAACATCAAGCCCCAAATTATGTCAAAAGTACGATCAAACAAAGCAAATTTAATAGAATCTTGAAAGTAAGTTGTTCAAAATTTGGCATAACACTAGTCATAGCGCAAGAAATTAGCAGTCTCAATAACCACGTGATATTACATGATGATTTTGCAATTGGAATAAATCTCAGAACTACCAAATTTTTGTATCGTGACTATTGCCACTAAATTTGCTAGTCTAAATTACTATGTAAAAACATTAATAAAATATTTTTTTTTATACAATATATATCTAGAAATTAAAAAAAAATAACTATGACTTGGTGAATAAACTTAAATACTTAGTTTCAAATATCCAGACTCTTTGAAATAAGGCTGAGTTATCTGAATGTCGTTCTTCTTCTATGGAGTCTACTAGTTATCAAGTTGCAGAATTAGAAGCTGAAAATATAAGGCTAAAAAAAGAAAAAACTGAATGGTATTTATTCATTAATTTATTTTTAAGCAAAGCAGCATATTAATTTTGTCTAAATTATACTTAGAATGAGTTACTTGGATTATTTGGATCAAGAAAAGAACAGAATTAATGTAAAGTTACTATATAAATTTTATAAAGAGCTTACGTTAAGACAGATTGAAATTAATGTGCTTCAAGAAAAAGTGCATGACTTAGAAAAACAAGTAATAAGTAGAAATACAATAATTTTTGAAAATGAAAGCAATGTAGGTGTTTCTTATTTCTATAGTTGTCACATTATAATTTTTTTATAACTTACTAAAAAAGTATTTACTATACATTAGATTAAACTATTAAATAGCAGATATGAATTTATAGAAAATGAGTTCATAAGTGAACTCGAAGTATCTAAAAGGATGAAAAATTTGTTGCAAAAAGAAGTAGAATTACTAACTAAAATCTTGGTTTGTTATCAAGAAGATTTTGTATATTAACTAATATCTGAATAAATTATTAATTGCAACAACAAATTTATTGGTGAACTAAAAAGCATATGAAGAAAAGCAACATCACTTTAATAGGCAGAGAATTGAACATGTTTGAGTAATAGAAGATTTGCTCATAAAGTATAAGAAAGAACTTGAACAAGCTCATTCAAGTTGTAATCAACAATTAGAAAACCAATAAAATTGTTCGGAAATGAATCTTAACGTGAATAAAATTTTATATCATATTGAAGAACTTCAAGCAAGTAAGGTTTAAATATTATTTACTATAAACTTCTTCTCTTATTTATTATAATTTCTATTACTATAGTAATTTATAATCTGGAAAATGACAATACTAGCTTACTAAAAGAGACTATGTCCTTATAGCAAAATAATGTTCATGAGTTAAAGGATATAGAATTGATCAAGTCAATAAACTTTTGTCAAAAAGTAGGTTTTTTTTTCTTTTTAATATAATTAAAAAATAATTTATTTATTCTCATATTATTTTACAGCTATAAACAAACTTCAAAATAAAAACAAACTATTGCAAAAATGTGAAGCTATTCTTAATAACATGATATTTGCAGTTTAGAGTAAGAATAGTTCAACTTTTAGCAAAATTAAAACAATTGGAAAAAATAATTAAAGACAATCACATAATACTGATAATGCCATTATAGATGTAATACCAACACAAAGCTTTATGAATTTAGAAGATGAGAACAAGCAACTTGTTGAACAAGTCTTAGAACAAAATAAAAGAATAACAAGAATATTAAGAGTTAAAGAGGTAAAGCTATCACTGATTAGTAAATATAGTTGTTTAATATGTTGAATGGTCTAAATATATTCTAAATTGTATTTATTGTATTTTAGATTTTGAAACAGTGATCCAAAAGTATGAAGAGGCTGTATATAATTATCTAGGTTATAAGTTTAAAGTTTCTGATAATAATGACATTCATTTAATATTAGTTAAAGATGACAGTGACAGTGATATGAGTATATGCAGTGACCATAAAGCATAATATATATATCTTTCGATATATAGATCTTTTGATATATAGATCTTTTGATAATAGAATTTTTGATATATAGATTTTTTATTTTTTATTTTTTTTTGATATGTAGGTTATTGATATATAGATTTTTTTTTTTTTTTGATATGTAGGTCATTGATATATAGATTTTTTATTTTTTTTTTACGATATATATTTATTTTTTTTCAAAAATTCTTTTTTAGAAGTCATTTTTTTTATGTGGATCTTTTGAAATTTGCTATGATGCAAGACATCTATACTTAACGGTTATACAAAGTGTTTTAGTTTTTTAAATAGCTATAACTTTTTATTTAAGAAGTTTTAAAAAAATTTGACTGGTAACTTTATAGAGCTACATCAGCTCTACATGTGTGCCAAATTTCATTTCAAAATCTTATCACTGTAAAAAGTTTTAGTAATTTGAAAATTGAAATTTTATATATAAATTTGTAAATTTATATATAAAATTTTAATTTTCAAATCGCTAAAACTTTTTACAGTGATGAGATTTTGAAATGAAAATTGGCACACATGTAGAGCTGATGTAGCTCTATAAAGTTACCAGTCAATTTTTTTTTAAACTTCTTAAATAAAAAGTTATAGATATTTAAAAAATTGAAACACTTCATGTAACTGTTAAGTATAGATGTCTTGCACTATAGGAAATTATCGGTATTAGTTTAAATAAATTGAGATTTGCTATATTAAACTTTGAATTTATAATATTATGCTATATAGATTTCTTATTTAATACTAATTGGTGGTATATTAGATCCAAATTTCTATTGTTATGTCATGCTGCCAGTATGTTATTGTTTCTTTTAGCATCATAGTTTGGTGTCATCTCTAAGAGTTAAACAGTAAGGTAATCAAAATAATTTTGAGGACTGGTTATTGTTTAATTTTTTTAAGGGTGATAAGACACCAAAGCCTTTTTTTTTCTTGGCAGGAACACGTTATTCTTCGAATCAAAAGGTGGTAAAGCGATATTAATGTGATTTTCAAGAACAACACGAGACTTCTTAAAAATTGGCTACAATAATCTTGGATAGAGGAGAAAAATCATTAGTGGGCACACTGTTTAAGGATAATAAACTGACCTCTTTGAATCTTGGTTGAAATAATCTTGAGAAGCATTGGCAGATATACTGTTATAGAATAGATTTTTAGTATTAGCTTCTTAAATGTATAAATATTAGCATAATTATTATTTTATCGTATTGTTATTATCTTATATTATTATTAGCTTTATTTAGTATT